CAGCACTCACAGATTATGGGGTTTATTAGGGAAGCACTAGACTACAATTTAAGTTCAGGAACAATGCTCAGTCTCTCTCAGCCCACCGTCTCTCTGTGTGTATCTTTCAGTGTCTTTCAGTGTCTCTCGGCAGCGTGTGTCTGTCAGCAGTGCATGTCTCTCAGCAGGTTTCTCTCAGCAGCACGTTTCTCTCAGCAGCATGTCTTTTTTTGTTTGTTTTAATTAGCAGGCAATTAGACTAAATGCATACCATTCTCCTCCCTGCCCATGATGCCTTCAGAAGCACCTGGAAGGCTGGGCTCCACCCTGGGTCATGGTAGTACGAGGGGCTGCGTGACTGTCTTCGGCCCCGCACCACTTCTGCCTTGCTGACTTCTGCATGCACACCCAGCTCTGTCACTTCCCAGCCCCTGTGGCTGCCCTGTGCCAGTGCTCGGCTATTCCTCACAATGCAACAGCTCCCCTCCCACTTCCTCCCCGTAGTTATCTCTTCCCTGTGTCCTTCCCTCCCATGCACTCCTACCCCCCAACCTGTCTCCCTGCGCATACACAGCCCTTCTGTTTTCCCATGATTGATCTCTCCAAGGAGTGTATCTACCTAGTGTAAATGTTTACCTCATAAGCCTGTCTTTTGTTTTACTGGAAGCCACAGGAGTGGATTCAATTCCAGACCTGAAGGGCAGCTAGGAGCCATGTAGTCTCAGGAGTTCCATCAGGCTCTATCAGGCTAGCAAACCTGGTCCCCCCCCCCCTTTTTTTTTAAATGATTTTGAGTTTTATTCCACATTGTTCTCCTACTCTATCCAGGATCCCCATCCAAGTGGTTGACATTGGTAGACATTTGTAGCCAGGCACCATCTAGTTCTTCTGGTCTCATAGTCCTATAGGCTGAGAATCACATGCTGTACCAGTCACTTATACTAATTATTTCCATGCGTATTTGGATTGCTTCATTCTTCTTTGCTCTAGAGAGACCCATTGTTGCATCTAGATGGCTGCTTGCATGCTTTTAAGATCCAGTTTTAAGATCCCAGTTGCTACTTGCCAAAGTAGGATGTGGAACAGTGTTTTTGTGTGGTATTTTATTGCCAGTTGAGCTTGATGTTCCCTGCAACTATGCTCCCGAGCCCACAGGTCTAACTGCTCGGTCCCTCTGGGTAGCTGGCTGTGGCCAAGGAGTGACTACAACCTTGTCCCTTGTCAGCTGTACTGTATACTTGGGAATTCTTACAGAATATACAAATACACTTGTAGAAACATTGTGTGCCAACCCTA